AAATACTTCCGATATAATCAAAATAGTTCATTAAGTTAATAATTTATTATAGTTGTGTAAAGCTAAATATTGTCATATCGTATATTTATATTATTCAGAAATTGCGAAGTTTCTCTTTTATTTTAAGACGATAAAATATGAGGAAATTAAATCGGTTTTTATATTTTCTCAAACCTATGCTTAATTGATTTTAGTTTTCTCTAAAAATAATACTTTCGTTTTTAATGGTAGTTTCGCGGCATCCCGTCTCGATTTATTTTGTTATGTTAGAACAACATCAATTCCAGGTAGTATCTGTTTACACAATCGAGATTTGCACCGATAGTCCCCTTAGTCGCTCAAGTTCTAATGTCAAATCGCGTTTAGGAAAAACGTTTATTAAAAAATGAAAAAGACTTACTCCACTTTAAATTTGTGTTCTGTAAACTTTTTTTTTAAAAAAAATATTGCTTGCTTGTAATTAATTGTAAAGGAATATAATGCTCTTTAAATGTGATTTTCCATTGGTCATGGAAATCAATGCGATCTTCAACAAAAGAACAGAGAAGGAAGTTGATTATTTTTATCTGAATTCTTTTGATGCAACGCTTCAGCGATTTGTTTACCAAGCCATTTTTTTTCTTTGTTTATTTTCTTAAATAGATTTTTTTTAAAAATGTTAAATGAATAAATAACATCGTCGTCTTCGATTTCGAAGTGTCAGTAGGTGTCGCTTTGTATCATTTACACTTTATTTACTGTAGAATCTAATTAAAACTTTTTCTTTTGATCAACAAATTACCCCATAGGGATTCGCTTTGCCATCTGATTCAGAAAGAAAATGAACACTCAAAAAAGGCTATTCGAAATTATTATATGTCAATTATTTGATCACTTTATCATATGCTTTCAAAGCTATCACACTGTATAATTTTTGTTTTTATGATCAGATTTTAACAAACTAAGTGCCGATCGTAATGGATCAAAAGAGCGACCTCAAATATGCTAATTAATTAGCACCAATTATCAATTATTAAAGATAGTTTTTTGGACAGATTTAGATTTTTGACTATCAAAGCTATAATTAACCTATCGATCACCCCGATCGATAGGTTAGCGTGAGAGCGGTCAAAAGTTTTGAGCCCCTTAGAGATTATGTTACTTTTTTCATATTTCATTATATCTCAGTTATTCAACATTATATTTTCCAGAAAATGAAATTATTGAAGAGCCCAGAATTTCGATAATTCTGCTGAAACGATTGAGATCATACTTACCAGATTGAAGTTTCCCAAATATTTTGATCACCAATCCAAATCCGTTTAAAATAAATATATATATATTCAATAAATGTTAATAATTTCTCTAAAAATCCTTAAAATTAAAATTTTTTTAATTATAATTTGGCCACTTAATAATTATAAACTTTGAATCATCCAGTATAGTATAATTAGCTTTGTGCAAATCCAGTCTCGAACCAATCCAAAACAATTTAGGGAGGATTAGTGTATCCGATAATGAATGTCACTGTGAAGAAGAGAAATATTTTGATATTGTTGATGAACATCATAAATATATTATTGCTGGTAATTTAAATATTATAGAGAACTTAGGAATTAAGTGATAAAAGGCACAAAATTTAGACCCATTTACCATATATATAAAAAAAATTCTAAATACTTTCTTACTTAAATAAATACTTGAATAAATACTCTTTGTTAAATACTTGATAAAATTCTAAAATACTTTCTTAATGATCTCAATAAGTTTTTGTTTAAAGATATCAAATAGATTCTCTTTACCTTTAGGTATGCTAATTGAATAGAAATGGGATGTTTATTATTTCTTTAAAAACTTAGTTTTCAATAATAAGGATAAAGTAACAATTCAACACATTTTTCTAAAATTGTTCGTTCAATCAATTAAGCTACAAAAAATTTTGTAACTTCCCTCATAGACAAAGCTCACAATAATTATGCAATCTTTTGTAAAAACTTCTATGTTGAACTTTTTTAAATATTGAGTTAAGTAAAAGTTTTAAACCTAGTAATTTAAATAATAATGTCATTAAGAAAATTTTAGCTTTTTATAAGAGGTTAAAAATTAAAATTAGCAATATACAGTTTCCTTACTTAATTATCCGTCCTAAATTTCATAAAATTTCTATAAAATTTAGAACAATCACTTGTGGGTGTAATACTTACCTAACTGAACCGGGCACCATTTTCTCTAACTACTTGAATAAAATTAACAATATTGTTAAAGAAGGTTTTTCTTGGATTATCACTAATAATCAACCGATTTTAGAGTTTATTAAACATAATAAAATTAATTCTGTTTAACTTAACTGCGACTTATGATTTCCAGGATATTTCCAATAGCATTTCCCTTTCTAAACTAAAAGATGTCCTTTTGAATTATTACTAAGATTTTAAAAATATCCTTAATTGCGACTTTGAATATTTGAAATTCTTATTAAAATTTTTGTCTTTTTCATAATTATCTTTACAATGGAAAAGATATTTTTCTCCAAATTGATGGAATACCACAAGGATCTAATTATTTATCGCTAACTTATTTTCAGTGTTTTCACTACAGCGCGAGAACGCGAGAATCTCGCATATTTTTTTATATTCTCNGAAAACACTGTTTTTGTATTATTATGAAAAAAATTTTACTCTTATTATTAGTTTGTTTTTAGATGTATTGAGATTTAGATGTATTATCTTTAATTTTCATATTTTATTAAATAATATTTACCTCGAGGAATTAATGTTGCTTCGTGATCATGATGATAAAGAAAATATCTGCTTTATTGATTCATATGATAAAAGAAATGATTTTAATATAAATAAACTAATTACTTGGAATTCTAATGTTTCTAATAACATCTTTTTAAATACCATTTTTAATCAAATGAATAGAATTAAAAGAATATGTAGTAATGTTTATTTATCCAAAAAACAAATAGACAAATTTTTTCAAAATTTGATTTTAAAAAAATGGATACCCAACTATAGTAATTAAATTCTATATAAAATAATTGAGTTAATTGTATGTTATTGCAAACAAATTTACTAAAATACTTCTTAGTTAATTTATTTTTACAATGTGCAAATCCATGGCTAAAATTATGTTCAAAACAAGAAATTCATGTTTCTTTCTATTTTATTTTATTTTTTTTCTTAAATTAAAGTTAATTTTCTAAAATTATTAATTGTCAACTTTTTTAAATTATCCTGTATAATATTACCTTGTGCACACATCCATTTTCGGCCCATCCTTGGTAACTAACAAATCAAATGCACTTCAGTACTGCAGTAAGAACGCACTATAAAACAAAACCCCTCTATTTGCGCTTTTACCTGAATTTACGCCTCTGTTTTCATATTTTGTAATCATGCAATCTTGTGACGAAAATATTTTAGAATATATCATTCCTAAAAAATTTCCCGTTCATGTAAGTTGATTTGAATTCGCTACTCGCTTTATAGACTTCGTTTTATTCTGTTTTTTATGTTTTATTCTGTTTTTTAAAATATGGTCCTAATAAAGGGATTCAAAAGTTTGAGTTTTGTATTGTTAATTTCACTTTTCATCTTTTGCTATATCTTTAGAACCATTTAAGGAAAATCAAGCAATTTTTGTACTCAATTTTAAAATTAGTTTATTCAAAGATTGTTCTCCTGATAATTATTATTATTTTTTTTTTTAACTATGTTTCCTACATTTTATACATCTTCTCATAATTTTAAGTTAAAAAAAAATCTTTGTAGAGAAAAAAAGAAAGAGTACATTTATTAAGTCAAATATGATTTTGTAATTTAAAATATCACCTGCACAAATTAATTTAATATCCCTCAAAATCAATCTCGCAAATCATTAAGATTGCATCTTTTGGATGGGAAAATCTGAACATTAAATAAAACCATGGTTAGAATTTTTTTTTGTTGCTCCTTTTAAAATTGGTATACTGTATGTCATATCATCAAAGGTGATTACTCAATCAAACCATTAGAAAACCACATTCATTTGTAATTTACACATTAGTCGGTATGTTTGTATCAATGTAACATCAAATTATTACATCATAAAATGAATGAGTATCAAATACTACTTTCCAAAATAAGAAGTTTAGTTGTAAAGCCTAAGAATAAAAAATAATTTAATCTTATATTTAACATCTAGATGGCAGCACGACTTAATTATGTTTCTGAACTTGCATGAGTAACTGAATCAAGTATCAATTTGCTGCACTCATTACCTATATCGGTTAGGTAAAAAGTACTAACTGTAAGAGGTTCTGTAACTAGTTACACTTATACTCAATATCTTTATCAGGAATTCTTGTCATATCAATTCTGTTTAGAGCAGTTTCATGGAATAACAATTCATCTAGATTTCCGAAACAGTTTGTTTAGGATCATGCACAATCATATTATGTTTCTCACATTATACACTTTATATTGAATACACTTAGTATAATAGCAGTAATAAATTAACACAATATCTAAAAAAAGTTTAATAAATTTTTTCTAGATCTTGTGAAAACTTTCATAAAGGTGTTGGCTGTAAAATTTATATTAGCTGTACTAAAGGTGACGCCCGGTGGCTGAGCGGTAGCGCTTCGCGCTGTCGTGCCACAGGTCCTTGGGCCGGGCAAGGCCGACTCAGCCTTTCATCCCTTCAGTGGGTCGATAAAATGAGTACCAAGCATGCTTGGGAACTAGCACTGGGGATTCCGCGTTCGGCTGACCACCTGACCGGAACATATGCTCCTGCACCCCAGAGCCCAAGGTCAAGAAACTGAGATGGGCACAGTCGGCCTTGGCCCTCTTAATGGGCGGTCGCGCCACTGAGTTAGTTAGTACTAAAGGTTGCTCTCTAATCATTCAATGAACAAAAGTGGTTGTTGCAATGTTTCTATAAAATAAACAAAAAATGATCCATAATTTAACTTGTTTATAGTATCTATATCTAAATAAATTCGAGTTTTGTTAAATATGTATTTTTTTCCCCAGCTAATATGGCTCCTGCAGAGTTGAAAAAGTTTCGCAACAAGCAACGTAAAGCTCGCAAGCGTGCAGAGCTCGAGAAAGAAAAACAGACAGCAGCTCAAGAACGAAGAGAGCAGCATATAAAATCAAGGCAGCAACAAGATGGTGAAGCTGATGGAGTTAAAGAAGAAGAACTTGTACCAGAGAAATTAGCAAAAGTAATTTCAGAAATTATATTGACTTATTCTTACCTGGTATCTTGACTTTTCATTATTAAAAGTAAATTTTACTTTGTTTCATCCTAAAAATTTATAATTGTCTGTTAATTTTGGTCTTGAAAATGTACCTTAGAATTCTTTTGTTTGGGATTTAAAAGATAATTCTCTGGTCAAGTAGCATTAAAAAATAATGTACAATTATTTATAATTTTTGAAAAATTTGATGCATTTTTAATAATAATTTAAATTCTTGAGACAAGCCTGTTTATGTAAGGAAGGCCATTATAGGCTCAAAACTTGCAATTAAGTGTGCGAAAATTGATTATTAAATCCAAAGTTATTAAATGTTTAATTTTTCTTTCTTTATTTTATATTTTTATTTTGCTTAACTGAACCCGTGAATGTGTACCCTTTAAAATTTGTGGAAGAAAAATTAACTAATAACAATTCTAGTTCATTGAAAAATTCCATAGAGCATCATTTTAACATGATAAATGCATGGTATGGCACATTAACGATTGCTACTGTATGTTTTTCCATAGTCACAGTTTGCATAATTTTATGAAATTTACATTAAAAGTATGCATAACAAAGAAACGGATACCAGGGGTGATTGTATTCCGAATGTATACTGGAATTCCTGGTTTTTCTTATCGTTCCTGGTCTAAAAACAGAACATGCAATTCTTTTGTGAAATTCCATGCATTTCAAAACCATTGGTTGGCGGACTTCTGCGAATCAGAAACTTATAATCCAACAAAATTTTCAACGAGTATTACAGTCTAAAATTTTAATTTTGAAACGTCCACTAAATCCCATTAACCAGACGTTAGCATATATATGATTCTTCTCTCAATCAGTGGAGATTTTAATTCCTTTGGTTTGAAGAATTTTCGCTGTTTTGGATATTTGGAACAGCTCTGGTATCCTCTAATATCGCGATTCATATTCGAGCAATTTTAATATCAAACAGCGATTTACCTGATTTAAAAATTTCATGTTTCGGTTTACATTCATGCAAATTTAAAATCCAACGTCGTGATTCGTATTTTAGCGCATTTAAAATTCAATGTTTCAATCTATATTCACACGATTTTTTTAATCTAATATCGCAATTCAAATTAATGTGGTATTAAAATCCAATATTACTATTCTTAAGAGTTGAGTTTTGTCTTATAATAGTTACTATAAAGATGGAAGATACTTCATTGGTAGGTAATTTTAATTATAAATCTTAGCTTAAGAAATTATGTTAAATATGAAACGTGTATGGTATGTAGATCGATATCAAGTTTTTGCACTTAAAAATGATAGGATTTTTCACTTAGTCACGATTACCCCAGGTATACAATAATTTTACTCTTGAGTTTTTACAGATAAAAATTCTATCTTTCTAACATCTAAAATTCAGAAGCAATATTCAATCACTGTGTTATATACATATTTCATTAATATTGGCTAATTCATTATTAAAAGTCTGAAGGTTTTCTTTGAATTTTATTGTTTATTATTATTTTTAGGGTGAAGATCCCTTAGGACAAGCTATCCGTTTCCTTAAACCCCTTCAATTATTAGTCTCAGAACGAATAGAAACTCATCTGTTAGCCTTTGAAATATATATAAGAAAAGAAAAATTATTACTAATGCTGCAATCAATCAAAAGAGCTTGGCTGATTGATCCCACTCATCCGAAATTACACTCAAATCTAGTTCGTTTCTATAACAAAGGTATGTATCTACATTTTTTAATTGTTATTAATGACAATTGTCACAACTGACCAGACTGTATGGTGGTCAGGAAGCTGACCTCATGTCAGAAAGGTACCGGGTTTGAATCTCATACAAGCTATGGATGTTCTTTCCTTCTCTTCTCTGTTCTATCTTATCTTCTTACTGTGGGAGCAACCTTAACCCACCTAATATGGAAGTTAATATTATATGGGTCATTCTCACAAAAACAGTCATTTTCATGTCCCCAGTACATTTTATGTCTGTTTTACAACTTACGAAAAAAAAAATTTCAGCGAAAGTGTTCTTCAGAATGCAGGCTAACAAAAGAATAAAAATAAAATTATCAATTTTTATTTTTTATTTATTTTAGGTAATTAAAATATACCAATATGTCATTCCCTCACTTGTCCCCACTGTTAATTTAAAAAAAGAAAAAATTGTTTCTGAAATAAAAATAAAAAAATTTACAAATTCGTGTTTTTTTATTTCAGACTATTGAAATATAGAATTCAGAAAATCAATTTTAAATTTAATTTCTGATAAAAATATTAACACAGCACTATTTTGAACTTTGTCCCTAGTGTTTCGCATCATTCCCTCACAACAATGTTCTTATCACTTGCAATCTTCTTAGAATAAAAATATTTTAATAAAAACTTCAGCAGTTAACAATTGGCATCATAGAACAAAATTGCAGTATTTTTCCATCTTCAACTTAAGGAAGCTTTGCTGTGGAATAATTTGAATGAATCAAACCAGGTAAAAAATTTTTACATTTGTCATTCCCTCATGTCGTTTTTTAGAGTAAAATAAAATACAACTTCATCGAGAAAGTGGATAATTATATGTTGCTTTCTTGTATGAATATAATTGTATGTGATTGATTCAGGAAATTAAT